ATTGGTTTTCAACAGAAGTACCAAAGCAATTCAACAGAAAAATGGCAGTTTTCAACAAATGACTCTTGGATAATCTGTTAGTCACCATGAAAAACTAGGAATTTAATCTCTTACCTAGTACTATCCATAAAAATAACTTAAAAATAGATCACTGACCTAAATTTAAGAGTTAAGACTATATTGGATTAGGAAAATTCTTCTTAAATGTGTCATCAATTAAAATATTTTTCATTTTAAGACATCATACAATATAAAAAGGCAAACCAAAGACTGGAACAAAACATTTGCACCTCATATATCCGATAAAAGACTTCTGTTCAGGATATACAATGGATATTTATAACTAAACAATAAGACATACTGATTTTAAAAGTGCATAAAAACTGTGTACACCTGTGTATAGTAGTTTTCTTTATAACAACCAAAATCTGGAAACAACCCAGATGTCCTTTAGTGGGCAAACAGCTAGACAAGCTATGATGATGCATCTATACTGTTGAATGCTACACAGAAACAAAAAGGAATGAATCATTGATACATCCAATAACTTGTATGATTATCAGGATATCTATGCAGGATGAAAAAAGCCAATCCATAAAGGTTATATATAGTATGATACAATTTATATAACCTTCTTAAAATGACAACATTATACATGGTAAATAGATTAAAATGGTTGTCAGTGCAAAGAAAGGGGATTTACAATGATTATGAAAGTGTAACTGGAGGGAATCTTGTGGTGATGTAATTGTTCTATGTCTTAGGTGTAGCGGTCATAAAAACCTTTACTTGTGTTGAAAATTACATAGAACTAAATTCAGACACACACACAACCACATACACAAAAAAGTACATGTGTTACTGGAAATCTGAATAAAATAGGTGGATTGTACCAATGTCAATTTCATGGTTATGATAATGTACTGTAGTTAGGCAAGATGTTGCTATTGGGAGATAATGAATAAAGGAGAGGGTAAGCAGGACCTCTCTGTATTATTTTTACAACTACAAATGAATCTACAATAATCGCAAAAAAAGTTTAATTTTAAAAAATGGGGTAAAAGACTTAAGCAGACATTTCATCAAAGATACATGAATAGAAAACAGGCATATAAAATGATTCTCAACATAATTAGTCATTAGGGAAATGAAAAACAAAACCACAATACACACCCACAAGAATATTTATAATAAAAAAAGACAGATAATACCAAATATTGGAAAGGATGTGAGGTGAGGAAAATTGAACCCTTGGGGCTGGCATTGTGGCACAGCTGGTAAAGCTGCCGCCAGCATCACATATGGGTCCCTATTTGTATCCCAGTTGCTCTACTTATAATCCAGCTCCCTGCTGATAGCCTGGGAAAAGCAGTCGATGATGGTCCAAGTATTTGGGCCCTGCTACCCACATGGAAGATCCGGATGGTGCTCCTGGCTCCTGGCTCCTGGCTTCAGCTTGGCCCAGCCTTGGCCACTGCAGCCATCTAAAGAGTAAAACAGCAGATGGAAGATATCTCTCTCTCTCTCTCTCTCTCTTTCTCTGTCTCTCCTTCCCTCTCTGTAACTCTGATTTTCAAATCAATCAATCTTTTTAAAAAAAAAAGTAGAACCCGGGGCCGGCGCTGAGGCACAGTGGGTTAGAGCCCTGGCTTGAAGCGCCGGCATCCCATATGGGCACCAGTTCTGGTCCTGGCTGCTCCTCTTCCAATCCAGCTCTCTGCTATGGCCTGGGATAGCGGTGGAAGATGGCCCAAGTCCTTGGGCCCCTGAACCCGTGTGGGAGACCCGGAGGAGGTTCTTGGCTCCTGGATTAGGATTGGCACAGCTCCAGCCATTGCGGTCATCTGGGGCATGAACCAGTGGATGGAGGACCTCTCTCTCTGTTTCTACCTCTCTCTGTAACTCTGACTTTCAAATAAATAAAATAAATATTTAAAAAAAAAGGTAAAACCCCCACACATAGTTGAGGGTATGTAAACTGATGGAGCTGGAAAACAGTTTGGCAGTTTCTTATCAGATCAAACATGATCATATCAAATTACTCAAATCATAGTTATCTACCCAGGAGAAATTAAAAATATTCACACAGAAATGTGCATGTGAATATTCATAGCAGCATGTTCACAGTGTAGAAAAGTTAGAAGGAAATGCAAATATCATCAATAGTTGAATAAACAAAATCACAACAGAATACTTATTTATCATCAGTTAAAAGTCATCAAGTACTTCCACATTTACAAAAATGGATGAACCTGAAAAACATTATACTAAGAGAAAGAAGCTAGGCGCAAAAGATGACATAGTGCATGATTCAACTTATTTGAAATGTCCGTTAAAGTACTAAAGAAACATAAAAAGTATTTTAAAGGTTGCTTAGGCCTGGGGATGAGAATTGGGAGTGACTGAAAGTGACACATATTTCTTTTCATGGTGATGAAAATGTTCTAAAATTAGTTTGTAGTGATAGTTGCACAACTCTGTAAATGTACTAAAATCACTGAATTATATGTTTTAATAAATAAAATTAAGAGGTTACAATTCTTTTCCACTGTTTTAAGGTTGACACACTCTCAAATGGTTAAACCTGTGACTGTGTTCCTCTGGTCTCCATCTATTAGATGGGAAAATTACCCCATGCCTTAGCTTAGCACATCAGAAAGTTACGTTACATGGCCTCCTTTCTTGTCCTCCACTCCTCAATTTATTATCCTCAATGCTAAAGTATCATTTGAAAACCCTAGCATTTATTGTGTTTACTGACAATGGATAAACAAAATTTCCTTGGTTTGCCCAGTTCCAAATTTTCCTGTCGCTCAGCAAAACAAATTGCCTTTGGAATCACATTTGCCTTTTCAGCATCACGTGTATGAAAGAAACCAGATGAGCAAAATTGACAACACTTGTGAGTTTAAGCAAATATAGCACTTCCCTGAGCTGCTTTTTTTCTTTTGACTGACTAAACATCAGAGGGCTCTTTGCATTTTGACAGTGGAATTTTCTCCTCCTTAGCCTTCCCTCCTTAACTCCCATCCCCTACCACTCTTGCGTCTTCACTTTGCCATAGTTCCAGTACCTTATTTGTATTTATTACAAAGTCCACTTCTTATTCCTTTCCTTTTTCATTTCTCTCCTTTAAATTATGGAAATATTGTTCCCTTTAGACACTGACTCAGTGTGGTTTTATGGATAATGTAAAGTGTTTGGAAATTTTTAGTCTCATCTTTGGCTTTTTTGCTTCTTCAATGACAAGTACTGGGGCAACATATTGAATTTTATCTTAAGTCTAAGGTATTTTACTCCCATGTTGATATATGACATATCTATTAACACCCAGAAAAACAATGATATACATGTTTTGCCAGAAGGCTATTATTAGATATTTTAAGGTCCCATCTTTTACTATAATCTCTGGCTAGCAGATAAAGTTCTCTCTAGTATAAAAACTTAGATTTTGTTGCTTACTGATAGTGTTAAAACTTATTTTTAAAGTTCTTAAATAATTGACTTTTGAATGCAATGGGAAACTTCTCACTTTAATAACACAAACCCCTTGATAATGATAATGGTCTGATCCATTGCTCTTATAGAATTAATTTCTTTCTCTCTCATACACCTGAAGTACTTAGTTTATACTGTTATGCTGCTAATGTAATACTCATCCTAAATTAGAGCATGGCTATGTCTGTTTCTCTAGTCTCACCACCTGAATGGGATGCAGATGCAGTGTAGTAGAATGAACAGTGAAGTTGGTATTAGAATATCTGAATACAGTATTTGTTCTGTTACTTAGCAGCTCTAAGACTATTGTTTTAATGACATGGATTTTGTGCTGCTGCCAAGGACAAACTAGTTTGGCACATTCCTTGGAAACTCAAAATATGTGATCTCTACAACATTTCAGTGAGTGTGGAGAATATAGGATAGAATATTTCAAATGGAAAATTTTGGAGAAAAGGTCATCATAGACCTGGACAAATTACTTAAGCTTCTTGAGACTCAGTTTTCTCATCTATAAAACAGGTGCCTAACTTCAGGACTGTTTAAATATTAACTGAGATATTGTATGTGAAAAAGCCTAGCTCAATGTCTGGAAAAATGGACAATGTTAATTAATGCTTCCTTGGGTTGGAATGCATTCTCCAACCTCCCCTCTTATCTCTATTCCCTGCCCCCAACACACACACACACCCCACCACAACCACCAACTGAACCACAGCCCAAAAAAAGTCCTCCAAAATCCAAACTTGTAAATTCTGATTTAACTTTTCAGAAAGAGTCCATAAGACACCACTCTACAAAACTTTTTCAAACAACTTCCTTTAGGAAGTAATAGCCCCTTGGTTATGAGTTCTGGGCTTTGGTAATCAGAAGAGACCCCTAAATTTAGTAGCTGCATGACCTTGGACAAGTTACTTATTCTCTCTGCATCTAGATTTCCTGTCCGTAAAACGAGATCAATATGGTACATATCTCATAGAGTTGCGGAGGACTAAATGAGATAGATACAAAAAACGCTTAGCACAGCCTCTGACACTAAGTCCTCCAGAAGTATTACGTAGTAGGAGAAGTAGGTATAGCAATTTCCTCTTCAGTAAAATGCTAATAAAATGCTTACTCTGCTTTCCACTGTTGTGGCAAGGTTCTGACGCAAAAGTCTTTTAAATTTTAATTTTGAACAAACAGAAGGGTATACTGCACCTTGAGTTATTTGGGGCAAAGTCCTCAATTCACTTTTATAGAATATGCTTTCTCTCGGCTGCCTGCACTGTGGGTGCAACTTTAATCATTACGGAATAAAATCAGAAGGTATGTCCCTCGGATACAAGCAGCTGACTCCCAAAGAGCAGAATTCAGATCAGCCCCCGAAGACCGCACCTCGGTAATTCCTTGGAGTTCACCTCTAACGGCCCCCTCCCCTTGGAGCCGCGCAAGCGTACACTGAATTTGCGCCTCTCTTCCTCATGCCCCCGCCTCCAACACCCCCCCCACCCCCGGTCTGCCTAATACGCAGGCGCGTCTCCTCAAAGCCTGTCCCTCCCCCTCCTCTTTCTCTTCATTTCGTTCCCCCTCCTCTTCCAGCACCTCGGCAGGTTCAAACTCTTCTCGGTGAGAGTGGCGGTGCTCGCGACGTCACGTGATGAGCATCCTGCTGCCCAACATGGCGGAGTTCGACACCATCTCGGAACTGGAGGAGGAGGAGGAAGAAGAAGCGGCAACGTCGTCGTCGTCGTCGTCGCCGTCGTCGTCGGTCTCTGGACCCGACGATGACGAGGAAGATGAGGAGGAGGAGGAGGAGGAAGAGGAGGAGGAGGAGGAAGAGGAGGAGGAGGAAGAGGCGCCGCCCCCGCCCCGGGTAGTGAGCGAGGAGCATCTGCGGAGATATGCCCCCGACCCTGTATTGGTGCGGGGCGCCGGCCACATCACTGTGTAAGCGAGAGGGGGCTATGGGGTTTGAAAAAGCCGAGATTTGGCGACAGAGAAAAAAGAAACGTGATCGAGGGGCCTGTGAGGTGGGGGAGGGCTGACTGAGACATACAGTTAGGAAAGGACACCTGGTTTACATTTTAGGAGAAACGGTGTAAAGAAAGTGAAGAGCATGTGTGATGCAGCAACGCAGGCAAAGACTGAGTATAGCACAGGGAAGTTAGGGGTTTAGGAGCCAGAGCGATTGGAGTAGGGGTGAATTTCCTTTCTTGTGTGTATCCTGGTGAGCGAATAGTCACTAAACTGCAGGATGTACCAGAGGGTTCTTTGCTGCCAAGATTGGTGTCTAGTGGAAAACGGTGCAACTGCTGTGACATGTGATCAGAACTAGGTTTGGATTCTTCCAAACAGAAACATGATACATTTTGTGAAAATATTATAAAATATCAATCCATCCCTTCTTTCCGTCGAATCCTTATGTGAATGAATACAATAATCCCCTGTTTTGAACAGTGCTGCACTGAACATTCCTGAAATAGCACACCAGTAGAGGTTCAGGTTGAAAGACAGCTGTGGAAAGTAGAAAGAGGAATGAATTGAGAGTCAAGGCTCTTGGATGCACATTTCAATTTTGCTTCTTACTGATGCTATGACCTTGGTCAGATTGCTTCCCATTTCTGGGCCTTGATATCTCCATCTGTAAAATGAAACGTTTGAAGTAGACGGTTTCTAAAGCATAGAGTTCTGAGATAATCTAAGAGACCTCCAGGGGCTTTTGTATTCCTGAATACTAAGTATACAAACGTTAAGTGTCTGTGGAAATTTGTCTTCTGAGAGCTGAGGATGATTTCTTAAAAACTTACCAGGGTGGCTTTTTTTAAACTTTTAAATCTTGGATCATATTTGAGAAAATAAAATGGAGAGGAACTTCAGGACATAGTAGTTATAAAGACAAAAAAGATGACTCTCTGTACTTTGAAGAGTGATTCCTCATTTATATTTGCTTGGACTGTAAATACTTGAAGTTGAACTGTTTTGTCATGTGCATTCTCTTAACTATACTCCCTTTTACTGCATTTTCAAAACATGCTGCCTCTAATTTTGATTATTGGCTCACCTGGCCCCTTTAACTTTCACTTGAGTTCATATTAAATGAAATCATATGTTACAAACCTCCTCCATCATGTTAACTTTTAATTTTAACATGTTGAGTATTTTGATTGTAATATACTTTGGTAGTCCTTGCATGGAATGTATTAACAAAGACTATGAAATTGTGGAAAGGTCTGGGAGGCTTTTGGGCTTGCTTTTTGATTAGTCAATTTTAAGACAGTTTTTGTTGGTCCAAAAATTTTGCAAATAGTTTACAATGGTTAGATGCCAGCTTGCTGCACTGTTTTACTTCCATTCCTTATTCACTAGGAAGAAAATTTATTAGTCAAACTAATTATGATTCTGGCTACTTTCTTGAAGATTATTTAACATAACTGAGCAGTGAAAAACTATCTTCTTCCATTTCATAATTTTATATTATAAAACTTCATTCCTTCTGCATTATTTTCTGAAATTCAAACAATGGAGAAGGAGCAAGGAAATAGTATTTAAGTTCCCTAAAACTTACTGGTGGTTCATCTCCTCTCCACATAACCATGGTAAAGTACTTTATAAACCTATATTCTTCATGAAAAGCAGAGCACTGATGCTTGCCATCCCCAGGCTCTTGTATTAGGTATAATGTCCCTCCCAGCTTAAAAAAAATGGGATTAGGAATTAGGAGTACTAGTAACAAATGTTGGTGTTGATTGAAGCCAAAACCTGAAAGCAGCAAACTGGTACTTGTATCATTAACCAGTGTGTGTAGTTTAGAAACTTATTAAGTTTTATAATATACCTAGAAAGCTAATTTGATGCCCAATGTCTGGGATTTGAAAAACAGATAAAATATTTAGGATGAAATATTTCTTATTTTCACTCAACCTTGATTAGTCCTCTATTCTATAGAGCATGTTGTTTCTTTTTCAGTGTTTAAAATTTAAGAGCCATCATCTCCAACTCAGTATATCTTAAAGTCAATAATTTTCCCTTCCCACATTGTCTGTGCTTTCCACTTGTCCCATTTCTGACCCCAATAGCCCCATTCTAATCTTCCAGGATAATGTGGAAAATATTTGAGTCGTTTTGACTCTTCCTTCCCCTTGAATTGCCCTATGCTGATCTCTCCCAGAATTATGTCATCATACCTTTTGAACTATCTCATCAGATTTTTCATTTTCTCTGTTCCTACTTGGCACCATTCAAGTTTGGGTTGCCATCATCTCCTGCTTGAAATATTGCCACAGTCTGATGCCTCTCCTAGCTCCAATCCACCCTGCATGCTTGTGCCAAAGTAATTTTCTTAAAACACAGTTTAATCAGGTCACTTTCTTGCTACAAACCTGCACTGGATCTTAATTAAATCTGAATTCCTGTGCCTTGTTCCTCCAACCTCTTCTTGTCCACAGCTCACCCCTCTACTTGATCCTTCCATAACCTTCTCTTCCAGTCTCCTGCCAAATCTTGCTCCAATATTACCTCTCTTTGCCTCTCTACTAGCATACCCTGTTAACAAGTTCAGTCTCTGATTTTTTAAAAAAGCAATTAAGGCAAAAGCCTTCCAACACCCATGATCCTTTTAGCTCTCTAATCCTTCTTCTTTGCTTCTCCTCCAAATATCATAAGAAATCTTTTTCCTTTTCCCCCTTTGTGATGTGGATTCTGTTACCACAGTCACTAAAATCACCATGACCTTCTTGTTGCTAAATCAGCAGACAGCTTTCATTCCCTTTCTAGTCATCTCTGCTGCATTGACACGATGAGGCCCTCTTTGTTGGAGACTTCTCCTCCAGGGATCACATACAGAAATAGTGCAGCTTAAGTGGTGATGGAAGGTGTGTGTCTTGTCTAAAGTGTTCAAATTCTGAGTTTTAAAAAATTACTAGCCAAAGAAATCTCTTATCTCCTTGACTACTTCACCCTCTGTTTCTCCTTGTACTTTTCAGGCTAGTGTTAACTGTCTCATTCATGGACTGCTCTTCCTCTGTTTCCTCTTACATGCCAGTGATCTCCAGAGTTTTGTCCCCACCTCACTACTCTTCTTATTCTCTGCTTTTCCTAGATAGCCTCATCTTTAACCCCTTAGGGTTTCAATGATGGCTTTCATATATGTATTTATGTAACTAGACTGTGCTCAGGATCTTACCTGGGCTTCTTCACTTGATGGACTACTGTCACCTTACATTCAACACGTTCAAACAGAACTTAACACCTCACATCCCCGGACTTTCACAAAAATCCCTCTTTTTTTATTCTCTATTTCCATTGAATGTTTCTCTGCTTCTTCCATTACCCATCCTTGTTTTTCTTCCATTCACACTTCCTACAGCTGAGCAATCAGCAGTGTTAATACTATATTATTTAAACATTTCGTATTCTCTTTCCTACCACCACTTCCATTGATTCAGGCCCCTTTCACCACTCCAACTAATCATTTTGCTTTTGTGCTTGTCACATTCACATTCCTTCTGTAGCCTGCTGCTAGATTAAGATACCAAAATTCAGATCTAACCGAACTACTTTTCTGCTTAAGATTATTCTATGATTTTCCTCTCACACTTTGAGGATGCACTCTAAGCTCTCTAATATGGCATGCAAAACTGGATCCTTTGTATGAACCTTATCTGCCATTTTCCTTCCTTCATTGTACCTTCCTATTCAGAGAATACTATTTCTTGCCTCATTGCCTCTGCTCAAGCTGGAATGTCAATATATACTTCCACTCACCGTAGCTGTCTGTATGTCACCACTTCCTTCCTTCAAAGCTTCTCTGTCTCCACTAAATTGTAAATCGTAATAACAAGACCAGTTTCTGGTTCCCTCTGAATCTGCAATGCCTAGTACAGTGCCTGACATAAAGCGAATTGAATAAATATTGATTCATATTAGTGGCATTTAATATGCTCATTATAGTGAAAACTGTAAAAGGTCTTAATAAGTACTAATTAGTTGAATCACACTGTAGAGTTCTTGTTTCTGAGCATGGATGTATATGGATACAATAATATTATTAGTCCCAGTGATGAGGCTTATTGCATAGCCTTACCTCTGAAAGCTTGATTAAGCTAGCTCCTATGTATCAGAGTGCTCCTACCTACATTTATCATCTTAACTTTTTAGCTTTCTAATTACTTCAACATGCAGTTAATTATTATTTCTCAGGGAGAATGACCTAACCACACCAATTATAATTCCAGTTCTGAGAGAATGATCATAAACAGTTATTTGAAGATCTTTTTCCAGGTTTCAAATAATATGACTCAATTAACTCTCATAGATTTGAGATGGTAGAAGCAGAAATAATGAAATCCCTTGGAAATATGAAGTGTTTCAGAAATATTCTACATCTGAGTGGTATAGCTTAGTTTCAGTCACTTTTCTTCCTGATATTCTTTAGAATCAATATTTGGATCTAATGTATTAGAATATAGAAAATTATTTCTTACAAGGTTTTTCTCATTTATAGACATTACCACACTACAGTACATATTATATACATAAATTTTATATACATACATATATATTATATACACATACATATATACATGTATACATATATATACTATACACATATATATTAAATACACATATTTAATATGTGTAGATATTTACTCTTGACGGAACACATGTAGTATAACTGAATTAAATAGGAATGACAGATTACCAATATTCACAGATTCATAAAATTTTCTCATTAAAATTAATGTAAGAAAGCTGAAGTTATCAATTTTATATGAATTGAAAAAGGTGGCCAAATTTTCCAAACAGTACATGTCTGTAAAAATTTAGAGAGGCTTCCAAATACTGATACTACTATAATCAGGGAATGGAGTGCCATTCCTATCAGCTCTCTTTGAAAAATTGCAGTGATGCACTCTGTTTTTTAAAACATTTATTTATTTATTTGAAAGTCAGAGTTACAGAGATATGAGAGAGAGATCTAATATCTTCTGTTTGCTGGTAACTCTTAAAATGGCCCCAACAGCCGGGGGCTAGACTAGGCCAAAGCCAGGAACCTAAAACTCTGTTTGAGTCTCTCAGATGGGCAGCAGGGACCCAATCACTTGGGCTCTCTTCCACTGCTTTCCCAGGCGCATTACCAGGGAGGTGGATTGGAAGTGGAGCAGCCCAGCCAGGACTTGAACCAGCATTCATAGGAGATACTGGCAATTCAGGTGGTGGCTTAACTCACTCTGCCACAATACCAGCCCCAGTGATGCACTCTTAATTTGTGTTAGATGAGGAGTCTTCAAAAGTTCACAGAAAATGCATATTATAAAAAGTTATGCATGGATTTTGATATTTTTTTGCAACAAAATGAACTTGCCTTTTAATTCCATTTTCCATGACCTTTTTAAATCTCCCTGTATAAGGTGAATATTATATAAGATTTTAGGCCTTGAGACTATTGAAGCTATGCTAACGTGGCATTGTATAGTATGGCAAGATATGATTATTCCCATATGAAGGATTAATGAGATTTAACTAGAATTGTGGCATGACCTTTCTTTTTCCTTGTATCGTAAAAAGTTTGGTGCATATGCTTCAGAATCTGTTTTTCTATAAGTTCATAGTTGTATAAGAAATTATTTTCCTTATTGGCTGAATTTTACCACACTAATTTCTAAGCAACCTGAGCATATGAGCTTTAATTTGTGTAAGGTTTTGAAAGACTGATGTATAGCCATTTCCAAAAATATGTAAAACAACAAGGGTATAGAGAGGGAGAAAACGGTATGAACAACTAAAAGGACCCATCCTTTGCCTCAGTTTCTTTTACTCCAAAGAATTGTTCCCACAAATTAAAAATATAGGTATTGAAGACACTTGACAAAGAAAATACAATCATTGAGAACCACTGTCTGGGTCAGCTTCCAATACATAATTGATTCTACAATAAAATAACAATGTGAGCAATTCCCAAATGCCTGTTTATCTAATACTGGAGAGCCCCACATCTTGGTTAATGTCTATCACTGATCAGTAATGAGTAAATGAACTTGTCTAACCTTTGTGGATTTGTTCTCTTTTTTAAGATATGCTTGTTTATTTGAAAAGCAGAGTGGCCCTCTGGCTCACTCCCCAGATAGCTGCTACAGCCAGGGCTGGGCCAGGTTGAAGACAGGAACTCCATCTGGGTTTTGCACGCGAGTGGCAGGAACTCCAGTATATGCAGGCCATCATCCTCTGCTTCCAGGTGAATTATCAGGAAACTGGATCAGAAGTGGAGTAGCTGGAACTCAAACCAGCATTCTGTTATGGGGGTCTGCACTTCAAAGCCCACCCCCCACTGTTCTTAACAGTTTGTTTATAAAACAGAGCTTAGGTGTTTATTCAAAAGCAGCTATTTCTTTTTTTTTAATTCTTCATATTTTAACTCTCTAGTAGAGGAGGCTTCAACTTCATGAAATATCACTAAATTTTGGGGGAAAAAATCTTGATATATCATTAACACATTCTGTTTAGAAATTTTCCACTACACTAAATACAATGATTATCAATATAGTTATGTAACAACTAGCTATTTCGACATTATCCAGATAGCTACTAACTGAAATACTGGGCCTAAGGTGATTTGAGTTAAATATTATTTGTGTGTGTGTGTGTGTGTGTGTGTGTGTTGTGTGTAGTCTCTAAAGGGGAAGGTTAAGGAAAGAAGTCTCTGATAGGTAAGAACAGAATTGCTATTGTGTATTAGTTAAAATTACGAGAGTATTGGGTCCAATTTGCCTTTCTTCATACCTTTTGATGTGGCTGTACAGTCAGCCTTCTATATCCTTGGGTTCTTCATCTGTATTCATAAAAGTTTGGGTCTATTCTAAACATCTATGGACCTTTTGTCTTGTCATTCCCCAAACAGTGCAGGATAATAACTGTTTATATGGCATTTACATGATATTGAGTATAAAAAGGAATCTAGAGATGCTTTAAAATATACAGGAGAATATGTGTAGGTTATATGCAAATACCATACCCTTTTATATAAGGACTTAAGCATCAATGGGTTTTTTTATCTGCAGGGAGTCCTGGAACCAGTCTCCTATGAATACTGAGGAACCACTGTACGTAGGTCATAGGGGAATATTTTAAAATGTAAAATGACACTTTACCATTTCTAATATAATTCTCATTTTAGAAAAGATAATCTCTTTTTATATTAAACAAGAAAATGTAAATATTTGCAATATAGCAAGTATTTCTTGAGAGCTTAATCACTGTGAAGAATACAGAGAAAACAAAGTACAGGCCTTGCTTTATAAAGCTAACAGAATTTTCCTTTAAGATATTATATGGATCAGCAAAGAATAAAAGACAATATTTTATTAACTGTTGAATTGCATAGTGCAGATATGAAGTGGCTGTGAATGATCAGAGAAGGGGGTAATCCATGAGGGTTTGAATATTCAAGGTATTACACCAGGGATTGGAACTTGACTTGAGCTTTGAAGGCTGTGTAGGACTTAAACTAGGGAAGTGAAGCAACCACATAAGCAAAGAGAAGAGCCAACGTGGCATTGGAAAGGAAGGATTCATTATGAGAATGATTACAGTGGAACAAATAATAAGGAAGGTGCAAATAAATAGATGGAGATGCAGAAATGAGATCAAGATCTAGATTAATGAGAGTGATATATTATTGACAAAGATGAAGAATTTGGAAAAGGGCAACCAGTTTCCAAGAAAAGTTAACATTTATTTTTAAACATGTTTCTCTTGAGGTGTTATTTTGTGGCAAGATATCCAAATAGAAATTTTCAATATACAATTAGAGATGAAAGTCTATGCTTGAAAACCTGTGTTGCTAGAGGTATAAAAGTGATTGTCAAAGCTATTAAATACTCATACAGATGAACTGTTACAATTCCTTTAAAAATAGATGCAGAAAAAAGAAATAGATGCATATGTATAAAAGCTTAATTTTGGGAAAAGCCAAAAGAGTTAAGGCAAAGTGAAAGAAAGGGCATGTTAGGAAGGGAATGAGCAACAAATATCACAGCTTCAAAGTCAAGGGAAAAAGCTCTGTGAAGAGGACACTGAATCTGGCAATAAATTAGAAAAGATAAACTTCTGTTTCTGAATAGTTTTACTGAATAAAACTTTATTTTTCAAAAAGCATCATCAAAAGTCAAATTTTCAAAGGTTAAGAAAGTAGGGGACATTAGTGAGATGAAAATAATGGAAAGTTCTTTGGTGATAAGTGCAAAGAGAAAGTAACAAAGCTGAGAAATTTTTAAATAAGCATATTCTTTACATTTTACATTTCACAGAATACATTGATCTGTGTCCACTCTTTGTTTGATATCTAGTAAAGAAATAGCAGATGGCAGAAGTTAAAATAGAGGCAGTCTGTGATTGAGTTAGGAACATGTTGCTTGGCTGGCGACGCAGCTCACTAGGCTAATCCTCCGCCTGCGGCACCAGCATCCCAGGTTCTAGTCCCGGTTGGGGCGCCGGATTCTGTCCCGGTTGCTCCTCTTCCAGTCCAGCTCTCTGCTGTGGCCCGGGAGTGCAGTGGAGGATGGCCCAGGTCCTTGGGCCTTGCACCCGCATGGGAGACCAGGAGGAAGCACCTGGCTCCTG